TTGGATGGCCGTCCAGCTCTCGAAGAAGATCGAGGTCAAGGAAGGAGAGCTTAGCAGGAACCTGGCTTTTGTGGGGTCCGCTACCAAGGCCCCACGGGTGGTTGTGGAGTTGTACTCCTCCCACCGGCCCTTTTGTGTCAAGTCACATTCCGTGCGGACTTGCCGGGTTAAGGTGTCCGCGTCCGGGGTTTCTGGTCCCCTCAGCCTCGGTTCTTTCCCTGTGCTGTCGGACAAGGACAGCCCGGAGAGTCAGAGAGAAAAGCTGGCCTTGGCGGCCAGGGATGGCGCCGTGCTCTGCGAGTTCGGCGTCACGCCAGCTCTTCGCACGGCTTGGCACGAGGCTCAACGGAGAGATCCGTCCCTTACGGCTTCGGTCAAGAAGCCGGAAGCCCCTTTCAAGCTTGGCTCGGACGGAGTCTTGGAGAGGGAAGTGACCATCAAGACTGGCCAGACTGTGGTCGTCCCGGTCGTCCCGAACGGTATCGCCGGGCCCAATGGCGTCACGTGGCGGAAGTCATGCTACATGACTGTGCATTGTGGCCTCCTGGGGGCGCACCGTTCGGCGGAGGTCACGTTCCGTCTCCTTGAAAGGGCCGTCTGGTGGCCAGGAAGGGAACCAGACGTTAAGTTGTGGGTGTCCAAATGCCTGGCGTGTGTTAAGGGCAGGGCCCGAGCCACGAAGGTCGAAGCGAAACCTGTCAAATGTCTCGCGGAAGCGTGTTGGCAGGAAGTTTCCGTCGACTGCGAGGGTCCTAATCGGGAGGACCGCGATGGCTTCCGATACAGTATTACGTACTTTGATTGCCTTAGCCACGCAGTGCTTCTGGCACCCATGAAGACACTTACGCATACGGATGTGCGTAGGGCATTTCTGCGGTGCGTGCTGAGATCACGCACCCTGCCCCGCCTCATCCGATCTGATCGAGGCACTGAGTTCAAGAATGCCATGATGCTGGAGTTGTGCTCCATGCTTGGGACAACTCCGCAGTTCAGTATGGCTCTCAGGCCTTGTGAGATGGGGTCCAACGAGAGGGTCCACCAAGAGGTCCAGAAGGTTCTGGGGAACCTCATCCGGCATATCGGCGGCTCCATGGAGAACTGGAGCGAATGGCTCATGGTCGCCGAGTATGTGTTGGATAATACCCCGGGGGCGCATGGGTACACCCCCAGGGACCTGGAACGGTCCTGGAGCCTCGCCTTGCCGTTGGAGAAGGACGTTCTCCGCTAGGCCCTCCAATTCGAGCCCATCACGGACTGGGCCCGTTCCCAGTTCAAGCAGTTTTCCGACTTGGCGGCCGCTGTGCGGCGCCATTGGGACGCGAGCAGTGAGGCGCGTGCCCGACTTGCTAATCGGTCGCGTCGCACAGTTGAGCGCCGCGTGGGGGACAGAGTTGTCTGGAATTCCCCCAAGCCCCGGCCAGAGGGGGCGGGGCGTGTCCCTTGGAAGCCTGGTCTGACCCGGCGTGTCCCTTGGAAGCCTGGTCTGACCGGCCCTTGGAGGATAGTGGCGGTTAAAGGCCATAGGCTGCAACTCGAACTTGTTCCTGGTGGCCCTGGTGCGGCGCCAGGCCGGCAATGTGAAGCCCACGCGGAGGATGTAGTGCTCGTGCCGGAAGATGCGGAGGTGCCCGAGAAGAGGGACCCCATAGAGTTTTTCGACGAGCCAGAGCATCAGCCGCCTTCATTGGGTCAGCAAGCGGCCGGTGAAGCTAAGCAGGTCGAGTTTACTGTCAAGCCCCGGGGCCGCAACTTCGTGTTGCGTATTGGTGACCATGTTGCGTACCATGGCGCCCGAGTGGGCCCTAAAACCTGTCGCCTAGGCAAGGTCACGCAAGTGGACGAAGCCAGGGCACAGGTGGGCGTCCACCGGTACATCCCCTACGCCTCAGGACTCAGAGTCCGGTGGCACCTTGCGTTTTTGGACGAAGGCGGTTCTCTGACCCGCGAAGGGACGAGACAGGCCATAGAGTCCATCACCGTGAAGGAGATTATCTCCAAGGTGGATCTGAGTAGGGATGGGGTTCTCGCTGCGTCTTCTGCCCGGAAGCTCGATAAGGCCGGTTACTCCTTGCAAGAGTCCGTGCCGGACCGAGTGGGTGTGGCAGCTTTCCCGATTGACGTCCCTGCTGCGTTGAAGGAGCTCCTTGCTGAGGCTCCCGCGCCCTCCTTGATCGTCGGTAGAGGTAGCTCCTGTGCCGCGGTCCAGGGGTTGATCAGAGATCACCTAGAGGGTATGGACGTGGACCTTGTCGAAGTAGCGGTGTCGGAGCACTCGCTTACTCAGGTCAGTAAGGCAGGAGGCCTGCGTAGCCCTCCTGCTGCGGTTCAAGGAGCCAGCTCCTACGGGATCCGCTGTGACTTCTCCTCAGAGGAGGACCGGCAAGCCCTGAGCCTTCTGGTCGATACGCTCGACCCCAAGTGCCTCGTTGTGGGCCTATCCGGTAAGGGTATCCCCAAGGAGTTCCTCTCCCTGGTCAGTAGGTGGGAAGCAATGGTGGCCGAGAAGGGGCGCCAGATGCTTGTTACTATCTCAGATCAGGAAGGACTTTGGGAGCCTTGGGAGGCCCAGGGGTGGGCTCCCGTGTTGGGGACGCTTTCGGAACCGAAGTTCCCTTGGGCTTTCGGCCGAGCTGATCGATGTCAGCTCTTGGGATCAGTTCCTAGGGGTTCTAAGCATTCGGAAGGAGCGCTGATCTGTCTTCCCAACTTCAAGATGGATTCGGTTTGCGTTCGCTGTGCAAAGCCTGACGCTTTGGGCAGGGTAGCCCATCAGCACGCGAAGGCCCGGACCTCTTCGAGGATGCTCGCTCCGGC